CGACAAATTGTGTTGTATCAAGTTCAGTACAGTTGTGCTTAATTTTTTTCAACACACAATTTATAGTCAGCATTAAACTTTTAGCTCCACTTATTTACATATGTGTTAACAAAAAAGGTTGTCATGCACAATCTATGCTTGTTGCATCAGAATATTGTGTGTGAATAAACATAAGAATGAATGTAAGCCTTTGCATGCAATGGAGAGGAAATAAATTGAGGGTGATAAACAGTCACCTGCGGATAAAGGTTAAAGACTGGGGTAACTAAAGATCAAAACAGTAGGGTCATTGGGAAGAGGGGGAACTGGAAGAATTCACTTACAGATTTTTTCCCTTGGGTTTCCATTTGTGCTGTACCTTGGAGAATGGCCGAGATGGGCACTGATCAGATAGTGATTATGATGAGGGTCAGGTGATCCAAGGTCTCAGCCTTCAATCTTCCTCTCTTGCATCTATCCACAATCACTTCTTTAATAATCTCACCCAGGCTCATTATTTTTAAATATCATATGATTCTCTGGCCTATAAATATACCTTAAACTCCACACCCATACATCCAGTTTTACACTCGATATCTTTATTTGAACATCTAAGCAGCAGCATGAACTTTGTACGCCCAAAGCCAGAATGGAGTCTTCCCCGTCTTAGGAAACAGCAACTTCATTTTTCAGTCATTCACATCAAAAACCCTGAAGTCCTTATTACTTCTTCTTTTTCTTAATACTTAATCCCTACCTATCTACACATCCTATTGCCTTTATCTCATATCACGTGCTGGATCAACCTCTTTGCGCTCATAGCCTGCAGTGACTTCTTGGACGTGATGGCAGCAGTGGCCTCCTCAACCCGATCTCCTCCCCTCATCCTCCACCTTCTGCAGCTTAGTCCCAACACAGCAGCCCAAACAGACCTTTCATAACATATATTAGATTGTGTTTTCTTCCAATCAAACCCTCCAACGATTTCACTTCTCACTCTGAGTAAAAGTCAAAGTCCTTAACATGACACTACACGATCTCATCTCTCTTCTTTAACCATATTCTTTTTACTATTCTCTCTTACTCACTGCGCTTCAGATACAACGGGCTTCCTGCTGGTCCTTGAAAATGACAGGCCCATCCTTGTCACCAGGGTCCCTCCTTGCCGTTCCCTTTGCCAGCTGAGCTGCCCCTAAGATGCCCATGTGGCTACTTCCCTGCCTGCAGCGGGCCTTATCTCTAACGTCACCTTCTCAGTTGCTTTTCCCTAAATACTCATTTAAAATTCCAATTCTCTTCCTTATCTTCTTACTGCACACGCCTTCCTAATCTCATTTCTCCACCTAAATTGTATTCACAGGACATACTACCATGTGACATTTATATATGTATTGACTTATGTGTTAACAACTTCTTTCCTTCCACTGGAATATAAACTCTATGAGAGCAGGGACATATTCTAGTTGCCTACAAAAGTGGAGAGCACATGAAAAATATTTTCTTATTGAAATAATTCATCAATAATTGCTACGAAGAGGTACAAGGTACTCTGAGAACCTATGATAGATAAATTTGACAGTCACGAAAATGAGACAGGTCTTCCTTTCAAAAAGTTAATCTTTTTAGCGAAGTTCTGAAGAAGGAAGATGCATTATCCAGGGTAAAAGAGCAGGGAAGAAGATTCTGGGTATTAAGAACAGCACAAACAGAATGTTCTGAGGTGAGAGGAAAAACCACAGTTGTTATTTATTTGTGTAAATAGGGATTCATAAGGAGTAGAAGTGACTAGAGCTTAGAGAGACACAGGGGTGACTTCATATGTGATGAGAACACAGGGCCAGACCACGGAGATCCTTGCGGGACCACATTTAGGGCTTTATCCTGAGAGCAATGGGGAGCCATTGACAGTAAGCGTGTGTGCGTGTGTGTGTGTGTGTGTGTGTGTGTGTGTGTGCATATGTTTCAAAAGGATGACTCAGGCTGCAGCATAGAAAATATATTGAAGAAAGATAAGAAGTAATGGCAGTAGAATCCTGCGGTAGGAACTAATCTCCATGAGAAATGGCAGCAGGTAGGACCAGGGTGGTGGGACCTCTCAGGTCTTTGGGTCCATCCTCTTTTCCTTTCCTGCCATCCTGATCTTGTTGCCTTCAGTACTTTACCCTCAGGTTTCCCATGCTGGGAGTGCTCCAGTCTTGCTCCCTTCTCTCTGCTGGGGGAAAAAGTTTGAAATGAAAGAGCTTTACCATTTCCTGCCACTTCTCCATGATGCCTGCTCCACTCACAACAAATGTTTTCCACAGGTTTCATCTGGATATTTATTTTGGCCATTTGACTGAGCTCCATGGTGATGGTGAATGTATCAAGAATCACGTTTTGTTCATCATGATCTCCCCAGTAGCTGGTACATTGGAGATATGCAATAGTACTTGTTGAATAAATGAGAAATTAAATTAACTGCTGATCTGCCAACCCAGCATTCTTCTCATTGTGCTCTGCAGACACCATAAATTCTTTTGAGGTAAAGCCTTTTTCTGTACAAAGTATATAAGCTACAGACCAAGTTATCTAGTAGTGATTGTGCACTTGAAGTTCAAATATGCAAGTAGCTCAACAGAATATAAATATAGCACACATTTTCAAATTATATGAAGATAAACAATGAATTTAGGAAGTAAATTGTACATATTATTTTCAACACAATTCCTTGCATGACTAAAAGGGGGACACAGTGAACTGAAGTGGTAACTCATTAAAGAGCATCTAAAAAGCCCAAAAGAGTTCATGTAGCTCCCTCAAGTTTTCTGATTTCCAGAGAACAGGTTAAGTATTATAAAATGCTGAATCATCAAATTGAATAGTAACTGTATAATAGCGACAGAATCATTTCCATTAAAGATTCTTAATTATCTACACTGATCCTTAGCTATTCTTGAGCATGACCTAAATTCTGTCTACTAAACATGCACACACGCATAGATTGATCTACCTACATACACAAATACATACACTGTATGTGATGACTTTATGTGTATATATATATGTATATACACAAATATACACATAAATTCAATATTAAAGTTAAAATTGTAAAGCAAGTCATGGAAAGGTGAGAAAAGTTCTTAAAGGGCAATGAATAAGAATTTTCACCTATATGTGTTTTATGGTCGTATTGAAGGTTAACTAGTACCATTTAGATGTTCTTTTTCAGCCTCCCTTCCAACTGTGCAGTTTCCTGAAGCCACAGACTTTTAAATAGAAGATCAATTTTCAGAAAAGTTGTAAACGGAAGGTCATAATTCAAACAGTGCAACTGGATTTTCCTACCATCCAATTATTGATAATAAGGAAGTAATATAATTCAGTTCTGTATTAAAAATGGCTTTCACTTGTTAGATATGATAAGAGTAGCTTTTAAAAGTAGTGTTCTTAGAGAGAATATGTACATTGCTTCCAATTTATGAAATTGTAACACTTGTTAACTGGAATAATTTTTGTCACATAAGGAACATACAAAGTACAGACCTGACTAAAAGGATATTTGGTTGATGCTTCATTTTATATAAAGAAACACTGACCTAAAACTGGCCAATAAATATGATTTTAAAAGACACAAAAATAGAACTCAAATCAAAATATTAGAATAAAGGATTAGAAACAAAATTTCCAAATAAAGAAAAAATGCATGCATGACTATGCTAATTATGTAGTATATGCAAATAAAACCTTAAACTTGTATTCATTGTGCTTACTTCAAATAACATTTTTCTCCATGAAAACAACATAAAATAACAAAAAGAGTGGACCAAATGGAAAAACATAAAACACAGAAATAAGACCAACTTTCACCAATGAACATACTTGAAAAAATATAGGCTTGTGGAGAAACCAAATGAAATTATTACCTGGTTCAATGTCTCAATAGGTTATAGATATTCCCCACACCACCCCTTGCTTTTTTGGTTTATTGAAATTGTCTTAAAGAATTATCCTTTTATCATTACACATGAACCTCCAAATATTTGTATCTTTCATAATCTCAAGTAAAAAAATTATCTATAAAAATTCAGTTTAATATATTTGCCATACTGTTGCTAAAGCAAAATACAACCAAGAAGCACAGTGACTCACCTGCAAAGCTGCTGCGGATTCAGGAGTTCCCTGAATTCAAATCACCTCATTCTTCTTTCTTGCCCTATATAATCCAGTTCCGTTGCTTTAGACCAGATATTTTATATTTGTGATGTTATACTAACAAGACACAAGCTAATGGTTAACAAATTTATAAAAATCTTCTAATATTATATTATATGGATAAAAACTCTTTCAATTGTATAAAATTCTGTTTGTTATCATAGTAAGGATTTCCAAGATATAAAACCATGCTCTACATTTCTTGTAGTTTATAAAACATTAAAAACATAAGCCTTGTACTGAGAAGCAGTGAAATGAGGGTTAAGCACATTCACCACCAACTAATAAGCAGACCACAATATTCCATAACTAAACACAAACACATAAAAATTTCATCTCAGGGTATTGCTGAGAGTGGCTAAACACAATTCCAGTGTTTCACATTTCTTCTTGCACATTAATGCTTTGAAGTATCAGCACCAGGACTTTTCATTCATGGTATAAGGAACGCATGGAATGTTTTCTCTTAGCACACGTATGACAGAGAAGGAAGGAAGAATGTTTGGGTGCATACAGTTCTTCCTCTACTTAGGAAGTAAGTTTTAAGGAAAATATATCCTTTAGAAATGTACAAGGAAACATGTTTTTTTTCTTTTCTTTAAATATATGAGGAAGAAAGAATATGTAAGGAAAACCAAACATGAACATCATTTTATGAAACCAAAAATAAACATATTTTATGAAATATTTTTACACAGCATTCATTTCATGGACATAAGGGCAAGTGGAGAATTATAAACTTTTTATCATAAACAAAATAAGATTTTCATAATCATAGGCTCATTACTTAAAATCCCACAAATAAAATTTGTCCATGGAAAAATAGATATTTTGAATACTAAAGTCCTTTATTCAACAACACAGAAATTTCACAAAAACAACTTTACTGGGCAAATTGAATGTGATTTTTTAAAGTTTTTTTTTTTTTTTTACAGTTTTGTACATGCCCCATAAGTGATTTTCTTTAATAAATACACTGTTTTCCAAAACTGCTTTTTAAATAATTGCACAAGCATACATACACCTTACACAAATATCTATTAGAAAATTTAATAGATAACTGCACAGTTCAGAGTAGAACACTGTGAAACGAGTACATTTTGTGGCCCATGTTCTTAGAAGATCTCTATTTTGCAATTGTAAAAATGGAATCCCTCCTAACATAGTAGCTGTATTTTATTCGTGAGGAATACAGATCTCAGTGTAAAATGCCAAATTTAATAAAAACAAAATCTAAAACTTTTAGCTGTTACATGAGAACCAACTGTTTGATATCACTGTGACTCTAACCATGATCAAAGACCCACTACAGCTTTTTGAACATATTTGACCCTGAAATGTGTGTTCATTTAACTGCTTTCTTTTTTTCATTATTTGGTCACAGATACTATCAGCTTAAAGACTTTATATGCTTTAGCATTAATTGCACAACTTGCATGCCAGGAGTTCTGAATGAAAGTAAAGGAATAATCCTTTCTTTTTTGTGATTGCTTAATATTAATTCATAGCAAGCCCACCATCTCTTGCTCCCTATAAATGTATTCAGAAGAAGAAATTTGAATGTTGGGATTAGGCAAGAGACATTTTTATATACTCTTACATTGGGGGATGACTGTTACTATTTTCTCTCCCAAGAATGGGTACATTTCTCCTCTGTGAATATGCCCCGCTTGTCCACAGACAGGCAGAGTCCACCAGAAAACCATTTTGGTCTGAAGACCTGGAAAGAGAGAGGTTTGCACTACGATATTCTTGTGATGTCAGGGTGGCTGAGTATCAGCCGAAAAGGACGCTGGCTCACAGCACCATGTGCCAACATCACAAGTCTTTTCCCTGTTCTTGCCAAATCCTGGCAGGGCATGGCATCTTCTTGACTGCACCTACAGAAGACAAGACCCTGCCTATGTGGACCTCTCTCACCAAGTGTTTTATTCAGATGATCTGATATATGATTTTTTTTAAGTTGTACAGACAGTCCACACAATCTGTTGTATAGTCAGTCCATACAATCTATATTTTGAATCTTTTTGATATTGAATATGTAACATACACTGAGGAATTTTTAAAGGCTACATTTCATTGGTATTTTAGAATTACAAAAAATGTAAACCTTCAAATGACTGCCTTAGGATAATGATATGCTTTACAAATTTTCATCACATGGACATAGTGGGGGGGTGGAAAACTAGAGGGAGGCCAGAAGAATAATATCTTTCTTCAACATCACCAATGAGAACTTTATATTCACCCTATATGACATAAATAGAGTTTAATCAAAAACATTAAAAAGTGGGTGATATAAAAGAATATCAATAAGAAAAACATAAGAAAATTAAAGAAAAGCTACACTTTCCCATTTCAGTAATCAACAAATTTTCTTTCCTTTAAAAAAATGAATTGACAGGTAAAACACCACATTTTACAATATACAAATTCATTAGTTCTTTTAAAAAGCAAACAAAGAAAAACACATTGAGACATGCAATACTAGAATGTATTTTAGATTCTCAGTACATTGTTATGAGATCTGTATGTCTAACATAGCCTGAAACAAACATAGAAGTTTGTTTCACTTCTGAAATAACAATCATCGTTTTCCAAAAAGCAAGGCGAGCTTACCATTCAAGTGTGAAAGTAAGTTTTCACTTACTTCTAGTTAATTAGCAACTTGGTAAACAAAAGAAGTACAATAAAATAAAAATGGAACAAGAGAGAACTCATATAGCTCTCACTGGTCCAATAGCAGAAATAGAAATTCTAACTAGAAACCCTCCAAGGAATATACAAGTAGAAAGTTATCACAAAATTAATACAGTATATCGCACATTTTAGCTCGTTATTACTTAATTCTCATCTCTAAGTATGGACAGGAGTGATACATAATGAATTTTTCTCAAAGAAGGCTTTTGACCATGACTGTAGACCACATACTCATCCTCTGGGCAAGGGAAATCAAACTTGTTTTCACACTGGCATTCGTCCCTGCTTTGATCCATCCCTCCCCTGGGCCTCTAATGATGAAGCGCTCCTTCTGCTTTTTTAAAAAATCTTTTCTGCCACATCCTTTCCCATTCAAAACTACAACTAGATTTTAAAAAATATTCACCTGCTAGTCTTTCCAGCATTTCCTAGCTCCTTTCACTGTCCCATCGCTCTCTTCTCAAATTATGTTCCTTCTAACGATCTGCTTTGCTAACGTCTTCAGAGGCAATGGATGTGGGGGCGCAAACCACTGGCGAGTGGATAAGGAACAAAAAGCTGCAGTAAAACGTCATGTATTTTTGCTAGCCTCTGTTCTACTCCTAAAACTGAAAAAAGTTTTTATACTCTGGAAACAAAAAACAAAATGCAAATAATATCTGTCTTACTGGGACAGATTTCAGAACCTGACTGTGATAAGAAAACCAAATCCTACATGAAAGGTAGCACAGGTTCTAGGAAGCAGTAGATCCTTTGTGTGTCTGTGTTTGGCGCAGGGGCCGGGGGTGCTATCTTGCATTTATCAAATTCCACAGACTGTGGCCCTGCCTTCTCAGGAATCAAAGCATCGAGGGACAAGAGCAGGAGTGGGATCAATGGAGCATTACTACAGTAGAGGAAGACTACTGGTCCAATAGGGAGGCTCTGAGAAAGAAAAGACCAAAAAGAGATAAAACACTTCACTTTTACGAATGTATTTAATTCTTTTAAATTAAAAATATATCCAGCCATGCCTAAAGGCAGAAGGCCTCAACATATTTAAGTGTTAAAACAAAACTACCCATTTGATATCACACATGGAATTAAAACATTTGGATACTCTTTATTTTTCCTACCAAAAAAATAAGCAAAAAATAAAGAAACAAAGAAAACGTATACAGCTCCTTTTGGTCTGGGAAAATAAAAGTCAGCCATGGATTTCTCCCCCTAAGATATGAGACTTTATTCTTTAGTCTAGAAAACACTGTTTTTTTTGTGTTTTTTTTTAAATCATACAACTGATTCTGCATTTTCCAACTACTCTGAGTACTTCGCCTGACAGTGCAACCCAAGACAAGTCAACTACACTAAGTATTCGGGAGGTATACCCTTCTGTACAGCTCGTTTTGTAAGCAATGCAAGTGCATAACCACTACTCTAATATAGTGCTCAAAAGATTAATTGAAACTTTCATAACATCTTCCCCTCTTGTAACAATACAACTGAAGGTAATTGCCGGATGCGTCATAATCTTTCAGTCTTGTAAAACTTGGCATCGAGTCTCTATGGAAAGATACATGGCAAAATGGTGCCAGTGCTGTTGCTCCTTCTAGAAACAACTGGCAAAAAATATTTAAAGCTAAAATTTATTGCTCCAGATTTAACTCGCAGAACCATACCGTCGTGTACAAACTGTTAATCTCCTTAGATGCTCAGACATGATTGTCTCCTTGTGTCTAAACACACAAAATACAAGCTGCTATCTGTACAGTTTACAGTACTGAAACACATATATTTGAAAATGAAGTATAGATATGTACTTTGCAAAGATACATGATTTTAAAGCAGGGGTTTACCCAAACTTATTTTTTTACAGCCACTTTCAAAATAGACAACAACTTCACTAGCATAGGTAAATTACATCAAAGAAAGAATCAGTGTATGGAGAGTAAATAGACTGGCCGATTCCCCAAACTCCCACGTTATTTTTATGTGTCTTTTTTTCTTTTCCTCTTTTTTTTTTCTGAAGAAACCCCTATACATAAAATGAAAATAATTTCTGGATATTTTCTTCAGTGGTGGACTAAGCAGTTTCTTAAAACAAGACATTAGTTTGCCCTTCATTTCCAAATGCCTCGAAAATAAGATCTACTACTGCTTTAAAAGAACCATCGGAATGCTTCAGCGCTGGGAACAGGTGTTCTCTATAAAAAAAGAGCAAGAAAACAAGTTAAGCTTTCTTTCTATGCTAATATAAAATTAGATTTTTCTCCTTTACACTTCAGCAATATTTTTAGTTAGCAATATACCACATAATGACTTATCTATTTCAATATTTAATAAAAATAATGAAATGTTCAATCTTAAAACATTACAAAAATTAGAATAATGAATTTAATGGTAATTTTACTGAACATAATGATTAAAACAATTGGTTTAAAATATATAGGGAATAACAGCCTGCAACATTCATAGATAGCAATCAGAATAAAGGGAAGCTTCAAGCTCTCAGCCAATAGCAGGAAGACCAGATAGCAGATGTGCTCAAGATCTGTCTCTGCCTTGCAGGATGCCCGCATCAACTTAGTGTCAGGGTGACATGCCCAGAGATGGCACAATCACATAATGAGAAAGGAAATAATTCATTTCTGCTGGTTAGCTCTATTAGTCATTTTTCATGATAAGTCTTCATTTATCTGTTTTTGTATTTCAGAAGAAATAATCAGCTATGCACATAGTCTTCAATGTGAGGCATACAAGTGTTGTATGCAGTTAAAATGACTACAATTGACTCACTCTGCCTCCAGCCACACTAAAAAAATGCAGCCAAAAAATTAAACTGAAATTTAGACCACTGTTTTTATGTATAAAAATCACAATATAAACATACATATGCAATCTATGTAAAGCTGATGTTCTGAGTTCAGTGAAGTAATTTCTTTACTCTGGAGATTTTTTTTAATGACAAGATAACAACAAATATTACATCAATATTCCTCCATCATTTATCAATTACTAAATGCTAAACACATTTCTATATATAATCTAAGGAGAACTATACTGACCAAACATATCACTATTTTAAAGTGAATGAATTTTTATATTTTCAACAAATTAATATATGTATAAAGTGAACTGACACTAATCAATGGAGAATAACTACCCTTTTGTACCATAAAAATGCTATAAACGGTTTTCCAAAGGAGTAACAAGCTAGTACCAAAAGTATAAACAGTCCTTTTAACAAAAAGTTCATGGTTACTATGAAGTTTTTTTGTTTGTTTGTTAGGCAAATGGTAGTTAAGCTTGAATTTTCCTCTGTATATTAACAGTCCAATAATTCATCATGCCATATTCTCCTTTAAAATAGCTCATCCTGTACTGCTGCATTTATTGTAACGGTATACATAAATAATCACATTAATACACAGTGAAGGTGTATAAGAAACAACAAGCTAAGAATAAATTTTCCATGAAGGTCAATGGAAGAGCTGACATGACTTAGGCCAGTCCAGCAATCCGTACAGGCTATAAGCTGGCTGTGTAGGATGAGTAGGTATATGCACTGGCGTGCTAAATGCACGCTGCCAATATGTCGAGTAGACACACAAAAATACACGAACACACACATATATACCTTGTAAATACATCTTAAAAGAATGTTACTAGCACTTGAATTTCATATTTCAGAAAACACATTACAAATTCTACTACAAACATTCTGAGACTAGCTTTTATTTGCTTCCTCATACGTGAGTTAGTTGGCCGACACTGTCCTATTGTAATAGTGTCATCTAAGAAAACAAGTGCATTCATTGATTAAGATGTCAATTAGAAATTCAAATGAATAACATAGCCATTTTGGAAAGCAAACAGACTTTTCACCACGTGCACTAAGGAGAATTCCTAACCACTTGGGCTTTGGCGGCCGCCCTGCAGCGGCGGAGCGCGCTCCGCGCAAGTGACTGCGACCCGGCCTTCCAGCAAGCCCTTCCTAGGAGTTGCTATAGTATTTTCCCGAAGCTGCCTGCAAAGTGACCGAGCTTTCAGTGCCTCCGAGCTGCCCGTCCCCAGGGCGCCGGGCCCGCGGTTAAAACCGTCCTCAACCAATACAATAAATTTCAAACTTTAACTGTATTAAGAACTTATCATTGATATACTATAATTTACCTAATCTAAGTTTGTATATATGGATATCAAAAAATGTAACTTGTGAATTGTTTTTTAAAAGCACAAACAAAATGTTCCACTATTCTCATAAAGATAGTACTGATCTTATTAATATTTTACTCCGTATCCCTGATGGTTTAATCAGTTTTTTCCTTTCCAGCTCACCACGCATAACTGAGTGAATCCCCATCATTTGATTCGGTTAGTGAGAAAAACCCCTTTACTATTTTCTAAAATTAACTTTTGAGTGGTAAATGTAATAATTATATATCTCCATTGCATTTAATCATTATTAAAGGAACCATAGGAAGTAATAAGAAACATAACATAGTCATTCTAATATCCGTATTTTATACACACACACGCAGTAAACGAAAACTTAAAAGTTTATACCAGATGCTAACTTGCTTGCTGATGCCAAGAATAAATTTTATATAAGTATGCAAACTTATATAAATGTAGTCATTTTTAACGAGATAAGTTACATCCAAGCGTATCCATGCAATTATAGATCTATGGTTACAGATTCACATATGAAAAATAAACATGTGCATATATATTCATATATATTCACATTTATGTGTATATGTATGACATAGAGATGCCAGCTTACTCTCAGATGCCAACTGGAAACAAGATTATAAATATATACTTATGTAATCTTGTATCTTGATAAACATATATGTTTACAAAGATAAACAGCAAAAATATATGGAGTACATTTTTTAAATGAGATGAAGTCCTTATGTCTTAGATATACTTTTAAATGCTTTTCCAACTTTCTGCTGTTCATGTGCCCCTTTCAGCTACTCTATTTTATTTGCAATATTTAGAAAAAACAAGCTTATAAAATTTCAGCCATGGTCAAAAGTCACTGTTGTAAGGAAAAAAATTAATCACTTCTCAATGCATGTTAGCTCTAAAAATCAATTAAACAAGGCAAACATGAGAAAAGCAAAGCACAGATTTTTCTACATTAACATGATCTGTCCCAGAATAGCACTGCTATCACAGTATTATCTGTGATATTACTGTGCATTATCACATTACTATGCATATATCGAGACCAGCATATATCCCAGATATAAGAATATGGACAATTTATTGCAGGGGAAGTCGGAAGGTAAACAGGGAAGAAGCTTCTAAAATTATTTCTTCCTTATGTTAAGATCTTTGAGGTCAAGAAGCCTAAAAATGATTAGTTGGGAAATCACGTAAAATAAAATATGTGAAAAAAAGTAAGAAAACCACTGGTTCATTAATTAGAACAAATAAGGAATCTACTGAAATTTGTAGTAAGGTTTCTCTAACAGTTTTAGTTTAGGTTTAAAAAGTAACAGAACTCTTTAGTGTCCCATAGAGCACACAGAACAGATGCGCCCCAATCTTCTCCCCAGCTGTCATCAGGCCTGGACTGAGTTCTTTCCAGCCAAGCTGTATGAGGGAACATTGTTTCCATAGGTAAAATATTAGGTTAAATTATAAGTTTCTAATTATGCCTGTACTAATTTGGGAACACATCTTTCCTAATTGTCCACTAATGAGGTCATCTTTATAAGAAGACTTCAATTTTAAACAGTGCAGAAGCTCAGCACACCAATCAGGGGGATGAGATACCCCGACCAGCTACCTTCAGGTTATATAAAGTCAAAACCCCAGCTGGGGAATCACATTCTTGATGAGATTACAGTGACTTTTTGGATCTCAGTGATGCTTGCAGGGATCTTTATCCTGAATGACAGGAGAGCCAGATCCCCGTGGAAGAGCAGGGGGCAGGAGCTACAGGGCAGGACTGAACCGAGCAGCACTGTTTAAGGCAGCCTCCCCGTCCATGCAGGTGCCAACATTGGCAAAGGGCAGCCTTGCTCCCAGGAGGCCTCTGGAGGAACCTGCAGCCCCAGCGCTCTTTCTGGTACTGCTGTAGAGCATTGTGTTCCAGAGAGTCCATACTACAAAAAGCCAGATACAAAACAACCTTCACGCTCACAGTCTTCTGTTTTTCCCCTGAGTAACTTTTAAAAACAAAGGAATTTCCTTGAATAAAGGAATGATATTATATAATCCAAGCCCAAGTACATTTTACATTTACCTTTTGAGAATAAATGCAAAAATTATTAATGTCTTTGGCAGGTTGGTATTTCCGTTTGATCTTCATTAAATCAGCAATGAAGAAATAATTAAACAACCTAAAATAATTACCAATCCTCAAAAGCTGCCACCTTAAGAATTTGAGTATGTTTCTCTTTTTTGCTACCAGATAAGCAGTTATATGGAAGATAGTATCTTCAGGTAGAGGACAAACCTACATACTCTTGTTAGAAATATGTCAAGTGTAATAAAAATTCAGCTCCTAAAAGCTGAAAATGGGACATCTATAACTCTGAACATACGAGGATCTGCAGGTTGGCCATTCATATCTAGATACAGTATGTAAAATGTAGCAGTTCTCACAACACTAAACATAAAACTAATCTTTCTTAATAAAGCTAGACTTGAAGTTTCAAGGAGAAAATTAATAACTCTTGATGCTGAAATTTACCTCAGAATGCATACAATTTTAAATTGAGATAATGAGTATGACATTAGAAACTTCTATAACTATCGTTCCAATATTTATTCACAATATTTCCTAATCTAAAAATTTCACTGACTTATCTAGGCCTTAAGAATTCTACTGTGAAACAAGTTGGCCCTAATATAATGATTTTCAAGTGGAACAAGTAAGTAAATCTACTATAGTATAAATGGTAGTTCACTTATTAAAATGTTCTTGGACATATAAAAATGGACACTGTGGTAAGCAGAGAGAAGAAAATCTTTCAATGATCCACAAATTAAAGAGTTGTTTTTCAATGCTCAACATCTCTAATCATCAGGGAAATGCAAATGAAAACTACAATGAGATATCACTTAACTCCAGTGAGAATGGCCTTTATCAAAAAGTCTCCAAACAATAAATGCTGGCATGGATGTGGAGAGAGAGGAACACTCCTACACTGCTGGTGGGACTGCAAACTAGTTCAACCTCTGTGGA